AGGGCATCTCCTAGTCGAGCACTCTCGACTGCAGCTATCTAACTTGTTTTTTGTAGTTTCTTGTGCTTGGTCTGACGATGTCAAGCTGCTGATTAAACTTTATGGCAACTTGCTGAATCAGTGTTTTTCCGGAATGCCTCCAACCCGATTTGCAATTTCCATTTCCATTCCATTTTCATGCTCATCCTCCATGCCGTTATCCTTTCCGTAACTCATGCTTTGCTCACACATCCGATTGCCCAAATACAATACAAACGAATTTAATTTTTATCATTTACAAATTACCATAAACTAGTTTATATACAAATGTTGCGGGAATATCCCTAATCAGGCTCATTAAAGCCAAAAAAAAAAGAGAAAAGATAACAAAAAACAGTTGTTTCCATTTGTGTTTTCGCTTTGCCATTTTTATTCAATTATTTACAAAGTGCATTTAAAATTTTATTTGCCACATGTGTGTGTTGCCAGTTGTGAAATCGTATCATGTTCCATTGTGTGTTCAGTGTGTGTGTATCTCCTGCCACATTTGATGGCAGCAACAGCTGGGGCTAAACAAATTGAGAATTGATTCTTTATAGACCATTAGTTTTGATTATACAATAGTGTTTTGGCTGCACAACATTAAGAAGGGCTGCAGACTGAGCTGACTAGAGTCTAGGCGGGGGTTTTAAGGCTTGGGGTTGGGACTGGAGCTATGGATTCAACTGCTGGCCAGACGATGTCCTGGGCCAGGACATTCAATTGAACGCTTCAACGCCTATCGACAATTTTGTGCCAAAAATTATGACCGCTGCCGGCATTGCTATTATATCCACGATATATGGTCTGTCCTGGAATACATTGTATGCCCTATCTCCCACCCTATCTTTCTTACACGCTCTCCCCCTCCGTTCTCTCTCTCTCTCTCTCTCTCTCTCTCTCTATCTGTCTCACCAACTGAGCAGTGTTCATGTACATGATAAATTTGGGTTTATTTATCGGACTGGTCAGTAGCAAAGCAGATGAGAGCTTTGCCTATTTGTAGTTGGGATCGGATTGCTAACAGTGAGGCGTAGGACTACAAAAGGGATTGAGGAGTGTCTGTATGTGTATGTGTGTGAGTGTAGCTAATACTGTGGACAGTTCAGTTACGTTAGGCTGTATCCATTTGGTTGCTGTTGCAGCTGCCAGTTGCTGCTGTTGTTGCTGCTGCCTGTTGGCATCGGCTTAAAGTTACAAGCCTCTATACAAATGGAAAATACACACACACACACACATACACACACACCCATACACACATTTGGGCAAAGTGCTGAAATTTTCATGAGCATTATTGGAGAAACTTATAAGCCGAAAACAGACTAAAAATATCACTTGCTCTGCAGAAACTGCAAATGAAAATAGAGTATGCAACATTGAATGCAAACAATTTGGAAATAATACCTTTAGCCTGGACTTAAATTAAGTGTTTATTCAAGAAAATAATAACAGAAAATAAATATACAATAAACTTGTAGCATTATTGTAATAATATTGCTTTTCTCATAAAAAAAATACTACGATTTTTGGGAATTTACTCTGATTTACATTTAGTTATTTTAGTTACAGCATTTTAAAGATTAAACTATAAATTATTTAATAAAAATAAATAGGAAATATTAGAAATGAAATAAATACTTAACATTAAATGTAGAAAATCATGAAACAAACTTATCAATTATTTTCATTTAGAAAAAGCTACTTTATTTATTATTATGCATCAGCAACTCAAAATTTGGCACAGTCAAACTTCAAACTATTGAACTATTATCTAACATTATCGTTAACAACTTTCAGTAACTCAAAAGTAACTAATCTGAACTATTCTTAATATTTTGAGCTAATTGCGAGGTCCCTATAGAATTATTATTCTCATTCAAATTATACTTACTTTAATCAGTTTAGTTTAAAATGTTCACTCCATATTAAAGTTCACTCAAGCGATGCCTGACTGTGTACATTTTAATTTTACTGCCACAATAATAATAATATATAGTTATACCTAATAATGCCAATATTAAGCAGAAATTGTTGCGATATTAGTGCGCCTCATTTGGTCGAATTGATTTTCATTTGTTTGCACAACTTAAATGCACTCAAACAGCATCCGGGGGCAGCCAGGACACGGATGGTGCGAGGGGGGATAAGTGGGGAAGGTATTGGCAAAAAAAACACAAAACAGAGCAACACACATAAATTGTCAATAACAATTTGTAAAATTGTTTTACAACCAAATGTGAAAACAAAAGCACAAAAGCAACAGACACACACAGACAACGAGAGAGAGCGAGTGAGAGAGAGTGTGAGAGAGACAGAGGAGGGGGGGATGGGTGCATTTATTTGATTATCCTGTATTTCGCATTGCAATGTTGACAGTTGCAATGGCAAAGTGGGCAAACGGTTAGCGGGGAGTGCATGGGGACAACTAGCATTGGACTATAAACAATATCTCATTTCAATTTAATGATGCCCCAGCACAAATCTAGTGGAAGCGGGGTGAAGAGGCAAGTAGGGCAATTCAAAGCGCATAATTAATTTGAAGAGAGAGCCAGAGTAGGAAAGGGAGGATATCATTATATCCTGCACTCATTAAAAATGGATAAAAGGGTATAGTGCAGTAGTGCAAAACTATGTAGCAGACAGAGCCCATAAAATATATATGTTCTTGATCAGCCGAGACGAATTAGCCGTGTCTGTCTGTATCTCAGATACAATATAAGAGCTAGAGACTTTAGATTTGAAGTGTAAGTTGTCGTAGTTTATAGAATCTTATATGTAAGTTTACACATTCCGCAAATATCGATAACTCAGACATGTCTTTCTCATAGAGATGTATAGATATGTACTGAGTAATAGTATCATTTTGACTATCCGTATGAAACCTATTCCTATTTCAAATGACATAAGACGTAATTAAACTAGCTTTCCAAAATGTATAAACTTCATCTTTAAAAGGTAAATAAGTAAAGACTTGGTTGCAGGTTATCTCTTAGTCGAGCACTCTCGACTGTTACTTGTGTACTTGTTTTTCTAGTTAGTTGGCGTTGTTGGGATTTGGTTTTGGGTTTTGGTTTACCTGCTTTGGTCAACAGCAGTCGCATCGGAATTCAAATGACAAAATCCATCGAATCATCCAGTAGAATGTAGGCGCAGCTGTGGCGCCTCCAAACGGTGGCAGCTACACATCCAAAATTTGAAATGCCATGAAATGAAATACACATTTACATATGTTTTTTTTGAGTTGGTATTAACTTTGTTAGTAGTTATTTAGTATTTATTTGTAGCGTTACTTTTGACGTACGTTTTTTTCCGCATAATTTATCAATTTAGTTTTCATTGATTGCTTAAATCTGAATATTATTTTTTTTTTAAATATAATTTTCCATTTTATGACAGCGAAATATATTGATGGAAATATATATTTCAGTTTAGCTACAGGCAACTAAAACTAGTTCGTCAGTTAATTACAATTAAATGCTTTAATTACACAATTTTAATGTAGATATATATATATATATAATTATGTATATATATTTAAGTTTTTTTTTTGTCGGTTGGGGATTATTAATTATTTATGATATTTTACATTTAACAGCCTTATTATTAGCATTTATGTCGCTTATCTGGGGGATTATTACACATTGCACCTTTAGCTAATGAATCTGTCGTGTATATTATATTTAATGTGCTGCTGCTGCTGGATTTTAAATACAATTCTACATTATTTATTTCGCTTAGGTGAGTTACTATTTTGTAATTTTTCGTTAGGGTTTGCTATTCATTGTGTTTTTTGTTTTCTTTTTGTCAGATTTCGTACTAAAAATTACATAAATCTTTACTTAGTTTAACTACGTCGGTGCTATTTGGATTCTTTTCTGTGTGTGTTTCCATGTTTATATGTATTTTTATTTATTTATTTATTTTTATTTTTTGCTTAGCTTTTTAGTTTGAATGTCATATTCCATATGCTTTATACGGTTGAGTTCTATTTACAAGCCAATATGTATATCTAATCATAGAATGCGTTTTCTTTACACACACAAACACACTCACCTTTCGTTGTTGTTGGGCTGGGTTGGATTTCTTTCAGTGTAGAACTTTCAATACGGGTATCTAGCTTAGACCTTGAGGGTTACAGCTACTAGAGGGTTTCGTGGGGCTAAATATAGAAATGTAGCTGTGTCTGCTGCTTCGAGCTCTGTAGCGGATTACAGTGGCTGCAAACTCAGCGTGCTGACTACGTTGATTGGCTCCTAAGCAATATTCATCACAAGTTACTCTAACAAATGTCAGGTTGAAAATACCTCGAGTCTCATACAATAAAATATGATGTGAAAAGCGCTTCTAAAACAGAGCTTTTTTAAGTTATACAGAAGAGACTCGAGAATACTCATTCTGCTGGGCCAAATCTGGCGTATCAGTTTATAGTCCTAGAATCGTCTTGCCTAACCCAATCTAAACAGATATTAAAACACTGACTCAACTCAAGATGAACCTTTAAAATAATTTGCTTATCGTTTGCTGCTCTGTTAAAGCCTTATTAGTTATTTATTGGGAATAGTTCTGCATGGAATGCTTATGAAAGGTTTGATGTCTTCCACTTTTCCAACTTATTTACTTGGAAATTGTTTTTATTTATATTTCCTTTCATCCAAGTTAGGCCAAAATGAGTTTGAGTTTTAAATCTGAGTTTCATAAACTTTTCTATAAGCTACTTTTCAGCGATTTTATCTAATAACTTACAACTTTTCAGCAGATGCTTGGTTTGTTTACCCCACTTGCCCCTCAACTCTGTCAATCCTAACCCTTTTTTTAAGTATGTAAGTCAAACTAAGCAACTATTTAGTTAGTTCCCTTCTCCCATTCTCTATATATGCAGTTCACAACTTTTTGGTTTTGCACTTAAGTCTAATGAGCAAAAACACAACACACACAGGAGGGTGAAGCGAGGGGGTGTCTAAAGGGTTGCTACAGACCCTCCAATCCCCCCGGGAAACCCTCATGTATATATATATAGGTATAGATATAAAACGCTCTACACATTGGCGCTGGCACCGAAACTACTCAGGAATTTGCTATCAGCTGCTAGGCTGCTCGAGCTATGGGCGGGATTAATCAGTAGTGGGGCTAGCTGCTTGTTGTCACCTGTACCAGCATGGAATTGTTGCTGCTGCTGTTGCTGCTGCTGTTGCTTGAAGTTCTGATAGGCATCAGAGCTGACGGCTGACCAGGTGCCATCCTTGGCCTTGACATACAAGTGCTGTTTGCTCGGCTGTTTGCTGCCAAAATGATGACAGTCGCTCGCTGCGGCAATTGATGCACTGGAAGAAGCCCAATCGTTCAGCAGCTGATTCGTTGAATTGCACAGCGCCGTAAAGTCGGCATCCAAATTATCCGCACCACCACCAATGGATGCTGATGGTCCACCTGCTCCACCACCACCAGTGAGAAAATCTAAATTGCCATTCGCCGATGCATTGTTCGGATGCTGCTGTTGCTGCCGGGAATTGCTCGACTTACTGCCCAATATGTTGTTCTCGCTCTTGAAGAGCGTTTTAGGCTGTCGTTGGCGGCGCAAGGTGCCCGCCCCACCACCGCTGGCCATTTGAGCCGCCAGTGTGGTATTCGCATAGGCGCCCAAGCCCTGTTTCAATGCATTGCTCGCGAGCAGCAATTGTTGCTGCTGATTGAAGGGATTTGTGCGTTCCTTGGTTGGCTTACTGGTGGATGACAGTAGCAGAAGCGTATCGTTCTTGTTGCTCAGATTCTGTAGATGCTCCATTTTATTCTCGGTGATGTTGATCTTTTTCAGTTTGGCCGGTGAACCGCTCAAAATGGCCGTTGAGGCTGTCGATATGGTCATCGGATTTGGACTGGAATTTGGCTCCAGGCAGCCATAATGTGCACTTGCTGGCGCCGAATACATGCCGCTCGATTGATAATCGCTATTCTGGCTATTGCCAATCAGTGTGCCATTGTTGTTGTTATTGTTGTTGGTGCTGCCACCAACTGCAGTTGCAGTTGCAGCAGTTGCTGCCGTTGTTGTTGGCTGTGTGCCATAACGATTCTGATAGAGCTTCACATTGGCGACCACATTTGTTGTGGCATAGGCGCCGCAGCTATCGTATAATGATGCTGATGAGGCAGCTGCACCGGAAGTTTGCGCAGCATTGTTGTGCGGACTTTTGAATGTTGAACATGCAACTTCCGCATAATCCGGCATATTCAGTGGCGAGAGTCTGCAAGAGAAGAGAGAGAATTGGGTTTGGGTTATTAACTCACTGGGCTTTTAAAAGCGTATGTCTGGACCCACAAATGCATTACGCTCATAAATCAATCGTAGGAAATTGCTTTTGTTAGTCGCATAAATGGAAAAAAGGGTTCCATCGGTGCCGGGGTGCAGGGCTGCAGGGCTGCAGCAGGTGTGGTGAGAGGGTGTTTTTCGAATCCCCAAAACGGAAATTTGTTTGCTGCAGCTCATTAAAACTGTTGTTGTTGGTTAGCCTGGATAACGAGTTGACGGGAAGCTCCTAGAGCGGGGGCAGGGTGTAGATTTTGCCAATACATTTTGCCCATTAGCTGGGCGTGTCAGGCATTTTAACTTTCTAATTAGAGGGCGAAAATACAACAACAACAACAAGAACAAAATACTCAAATCGTTGGCGAAACTTTTTGCCAAGCGCACAAATACTGCCGTCTCCCCCTCCCTCCTTCCCCTCTTACACTCCCTCCCTCCTTCCCCTCTTCCACTCCCTCAAAACAAACAAAAAAAAACTGTATGCAAAAAGAAACTTTTTTATTGCTGAAATTTTTCTGCCACTAATTAGCTAATGAGATAATGCTTATCTATCGCACTTTACCAATGAATTTTCCCAGCTTTCACTATCCAAAACAACTGAAATGGAAGTTTTGGCTTGGAATTGCATTAGATGTGGAGAGAAAAGCGCTAAGCGATAATTTGTGCTTTATGCCGGAAACAAACTGTTGAAATGCATATACCAAAGTTAAGCTTAGTCAAGCATAAACTGTGCAGTGCGATAAGTTGGCAAGAGATTAAAGGGATAGTTAAAAAATCACTGTTACAACTGTTTTGAAAGCATGTAAGCAATTAAGAATGAGTCAATTGTAGAAAAGATTTGGTTTTTAGAGATAGTTAAGAGTCAGCACATTTCACTTTATTTTGAATATGACATTTAGCTTTTAGAGATGACCAAATGTCAGCTACACATTACTTTATTCTCAGATAGTCTCAATCTATCTTACTTTCAGGCTATATCTTTGACATTTGTGTATAATCAACGACTTTAGAGATCTAAGTATATAGGATTGAAGACGTCATCTTCAACATCCGACAAAGCAATAAGTACACTCTGTAAGATTATAATTAGCAGCAGATCTTTTAAGCAAAATAGTTAATATGTAACATGCTCTTCCGTTTGTCAGACAGTTAACTTCAGACATACGTAAATACCCATAATACCTATGGCTAAAGAGCATTACGCCTGACGCCTGAAATTATGCAGCGGAATTTGAAATTTTCCAGCAATTAGACGTGACGGCAACAAGGGAACAACAACAACAAGTGCCTAAATCCAAGTGCCTGTCGAACAACTCCCAACCAACTTTCCCCCAGCCCCAACACATTCACCCCTCTCGCAAGCGTAGACCTGCCAAGGCATTTGCATATGCTAAATCCTTAAGGCTTGGACTTGAATGGGAATGGGACTGGGATCTAGGAGGTGGCGGCTTCAGCTTCCCTCGGGGCTATCAATTTTTAATTGTTAATTTAGCGGTGAAAATTACGTTCTCGTGCTAATAAACCAAATACGTTGGCTGGAGGGGGGTGCGAGAGATGGGAGATGGGGCACCGAGTATTGGGGGATTTATAATATGCAGTACAAGATGTTGTACGCTTGGAGCCCATAATGTTGAAAATCAGACAACTCGAAAAGAAATTAAATATTTTAATTGGAAATTCAAATGACGGCGTCGCAAGCGTGCCAAGTGCCACAACAAGGTGGCGGGTGTGTGATGTGTGTATGTGTGTGTGTGTGTCTGTGCTTTTTTACGACTTTACAACGTTGTTAAAATGCACAACAACAACAATAACAACAAAGGCAACAGCGCAGAAAAGTTGCTAAAAAGTACACAACGGAAAAATTGAAACGGAAATAATGAAAATCGCGTAACGGAAGTGGCAACAGCATTAGAAAAATGTGCAGGAGCAGCGGCAGAAGGGATGAACATGGGGGCACGCCAATAGGAAGTGCACGAATTGTAGTGTCGTGAGGGGTGGAGGGGACGTGGATGGGGCATGTTGAATGGAGAGGGGGGCAGATATCTGCCACAGTTCTGCCGGAAAAGAACACAAGCAGAAAAAAGAAAACAAACTCAAAAACAAATAAATGCGTAAAATGCCGCAAATAAATACGCACAAAAGAAGGAGAGGGAGGCGTTGGTGTGCTGTGGTGCAGCGGGGCGTGGCGGTGGTTGTAAAACAGAGAAAAGAGAAAGAGAAAGAGAAAGAGAAAGAAAAAAACAAAGAACAGCAATATGTCGCCAGCAGTTGCGTCTTTTTATTGCGCCTTGTTTGCTTTTCAGTTATTGTTGCCACAACGCTACATTAAGCTTTAAAGGAAACTTTTGAGCAAACACCAAAAAAATAAAAATAAAAAAAAAAACAATGGGAAGAAAAAAATGTACACAAGCATTAAGAAAGAAACAAGAAAAACAAAAAACACGGCACAAATTGTGTTAAGTAAGAAGTAAAAGCTAGGAAGGAGTATGGGGTACTTGGATAAAATTGGATTAAAGCGATGTGGATTTAAGCAGAGGGCCAAAACAAGTGTGAAACAAAACTAAATTGTATAAGAATGTTACAAGAAATGCTGTTGAAAATAAACGAAGACAAATGTGTCTAAGTAAGAGATACAACCCGCTATTTCAATTTGAGAACAATTTCTAGCTTGCTGACTGTGGTGTAGAGTGAATATGGAATATATTCCCAAATTTACTTAATGATAGTCACAAAGATATAGCCAGGATTGCTGACACTATTATTTCTTGTCTAATTGTTCATGATGTTTTTTAATTAATTTATTGAATTTATAATGCCTGACGCTTGCCACACATGTTCACGATACAAGAGTCACAAATAAAAATGGCATTAAACACGCTCGAAAAAAAAGGAGAGAAAACAGAAGGCTCCCAAAAAATCGAAATAAAGTCAAAACAAACAGACAAATATTTAAAAATATGAAATTCACGGCCGTATATGGAAATGAATTAAGGGACTCCAACATAAATGGCCGCACTTTTGATGGCAGCGATGGGTTCGGGGTGCTGATGGGCGAGCAGTAAAGCTCCGGTAACGCCGAGTAGAGCTCGTACAGCCCCCCACAGCAATAAAAAAACAAAAAAAAAACAAATTAGAAAGAAAGCAAGAATGGGCAGCAGTACCAGGCACTGGCAAACGCTATGGCCCAAAGTAAAACCCGTTCAAGTGTAACAATTTAATGGCGGTTGCTGTTGTTGTTGTTGTTGTTGTTGTTGGTGTTGTTATTTTTGTTTGTGGGGTTGCGTTGCGGGGTTGGGGGTGGTGGTTTGGTAACTTATTGAAGTGGATGCGACTGCAGCTCTGCAATTTTTATGAGCGAATCGTAAATAGTGCGGCCTGGCACTCGGTATTTTCTTTATACCCAAAAGGAAACCCTCCCCACAGCCCTGATAGTAAAACATTTAAGGATTTTGGCGTGGTTATTTGGGACTGCTCTCGAAATTTTTCGTAATTAAACAGGCAGCGAACCGTAGGCAGGATATTAAGGCAACTTCCTGTGCGCACACGGCTGATAAACCAAACCAAACCGAATCCTCCAACCCAACCCAACCCAAGCCAACCCAATCCAATCCAATTTAATGCAATCCAACCCTTCTGCCCAAAAGCTTCAAATCATGCTCACCTCTCATAATCAGGCAGCGGCTGTTGTGTGTTTGATTGTCCTTGTTGCTGTCCCCGCCTCTGTTCCTGTCCCTGCCCCTGTCCCTGTCCACGTTGTCCTTGCTGTGGTGCTGTGGCCTGTGCATAGCCCGGAAGTTGCTCCTTTGTTGTACATGAGCCAGCGGCCTGTCGCCAAACACCGCCACTCGGATCGATCCATAGCCCATTCGAGTTGGAAATGCCCGAGTTGCCAGCAGCATTGTTGCCAATACAAGCGCCGACTCCGCCCCCACTGCCACCATTCATAGGCAACGTTGGAAACTTTCGCACGGTGCCGATTGCGTGATTGCCTGAAATAAAGCGAGTGAACGAACGAATGAATGAATATATCGAATAAATACACATGAAGATAGCACTAGTTGGGCTGACGACTTACAGCAGGTAGCAAGCAAGTTGTTGGTCGTAAGCCTCGTTAGCAGCGCCAATTACAACACGGCTAAAGGCGTAGACCCGTTCCCCAAACCCAAACCAAAGAACAAGAAGAACGCAAAAAAAGGGCAACGTGCAAATAATAAAAGACGAAAATAACATTTTATATTCAATTGGCAAGCCAAGCAAGTTGTTCCCTTTCCACCCGTTCCACTTTTTGCCTTTTTAGAGTTTTACTAGACAATTGATGTGATTTTCACGTGCGCATTTGTCGTTTCAACAGACACAACCCCTCCCCGCCAACCCGATCTCCACTCCCTCCCCGCGCTCCCTACTCGTGCTTATCTTTTATCGCTGCTTTAACCTTCGAGCTTTTGCTTTCGGCTCCACAAGATGATTACCCTAGGTACGGCTAGATTCGGAGTTCCCTCGCTAATGCTATGAGTGCGTGTTGTGTAGTTTTCTGTGGCTAACAAAACGGCAGCCTAATTGAGACCAGCCATAAACGAGCGCTCATAAATCATAGATTATATGACCTCTACGACTGCTGCTTGGCCAAGCTTGGCGCTCACACAAAATTATCTTATCAAACACACTCGAGTTTCGCCTTTTTTTCTGCGGTTCTCTCTCTATGTGTGTGTTTGGGACAGGCAAATGGAGCTGTTCAATCTGGGAATCCATTTATTAAAACTGTGAACTGTATGCTTAATATTTCTTTCTGACGACTTGTTAAGAGTTCTGGGATGAAATCATGATTTCAAGCTAGATACTCTTATGTTAAAGGTTTGCATACTTATTATTTTCAATGTGTAAAAATATATATTTATATTTAGAATTATATTTATATTCTATTCGTTATTTAATAAATGTAAATTTGTAAACGATTAAGGGGTCTCCTTTCCTAATTATGCAAATAAATAGAAAATCCTCCGCTCGATTGACATTTAAATATATACACATATATAATTTGCCTTAGCTTTGGGTTCATCGAGTGCAAATGACTAAAAGATTTAAAAGCTAATCCCCCAAATTGCGCCATCAAATCCCCAATGCCTATAAGCTGTGACGATTTTCCAATGTTCAATAGAGCAAACACCTCATAAATTTCAAATACCAAGCAATTACCGCCCAGCATAAGGCTAAAACCCAGACACACACACACAAAAGCTGCTCCTTAAATCTAGACGAACTAAGCTGCTGCCACCAAAACTTAATCTACAACAAAAAAAAAAAGTAAAATAAATAGAAAAAACGGAATAGAATAGAAATTTAAGCTGTCTGCCGGTGAGGGGGAGTGTGAAGTATAAAGGAGGATTGGATAACCGTACTCACCATGTAAACTGCCCAGCGAGGTCTGCTTGATAAATTGATAGCGCTTGAATAGAACCAATGCGCCCAATAGAAACACAATTATGGCAATGATGGAGCCCAGCAGGACGATAAACCAGGTCTGCGTTAAAAAGTCATCGGCAATATCACGACTGATGGGATAGCTGTGCACAATAGAGAATAGAAACAGTGAGGAAGAGTGGGAGAGAACAGAGAGAAGAGAAAGAAAGCGGAATGAGCACATTGATACTGGCCAGGAAGTACGTGCCTTGGCGAGGCTTAGTTTAATGGTCACATAGTAGTCCGACATAGTAGTCCATTCACGCTTCATTCCCATCCCCATTGCCCATTTCCTCATTCTCAAAACGCCCATTGTCGTTTGCTGTTAATGGATTGATGTGACTGTGGCTGCAAGAGCTCCAACTCCAACGTCAGCTTCAGCTGCTGCTGTCCTTTTGTCCCAAAACGGCTGGCAGTCAAATGAGCTTGACGCACACACACAGACGCAGACACAGACACAGACGCAGACACAATAAACCGTACCTATTCCCATTTCCACATTTTACCCACTGCCCCAACGCCCACTCACCGCGTGTAGCCGGTGTCCAGTGATTGGGTGCGCGCATCGATGCGCAACACGGCCGGTTTGCTGTAGGGACCAACGCCGACGCGAGTGGCAGCCGCCACAGCAATGTAGTAGGTGACGCCAGTGGTGAGGTTCGCCAGCAGCAACGTCGGTGTCGCCGCGTCAATGGTCATATTTTTGAATATACGCGTCGTATTGTGCACATCCAGACCCTTGACGAGCACATTGTAGCTGGTGAGGATGCCTGCGAACGAAAGACAGAGAGAGAGAGAGAGAGAGATTTAGTCAGAGACAGCGCAAATGACAAATGAAATTAAATGTTAACAAGGGGGCACATGGCAAATAGTTACTTATTCGCTTAACCGATTACTTAAATGCCCTTGCATAAAAAATTGCGAGTTGGTTGGTAGTTTTTGTTAAACAAATAACGAAATGCATGAAGATTAATGATTAGCTTAAGCTGAATCAAAGTAGATTTATATCGGTTTTATTTTTTTATTTCATTCACATTTTTGGATTTTACTGAGAAGGTAGTTGTTTTAAAATGATGTCTACAAATATATTCCTAGTTTATAACCAGCATACTGTTACTACAGCAGACAAAAGTAAGCATATGCAATCCCATAATGTATATATACCATTCTTCTCTTTACAGTGCTAAACAATACAAAATTCCAGTATTATAGTTAGTTGTCGGAGCTTGGCTTTAATGTTTTGTGTGTTGGAAAACGCTTTCGTGCGTCGATAAGACGACCACTGAATGAAAAACGATTAAGCCCGATTATTGTGGTTTGGTGTCGATAAATATTGGAAAATGTGATTTTAGCGTGATTTGATTTTAAGCAGATAGAGAAATCCTTTTTAGTTTGTCTTTCAACAGAGAAGCATTTGCTGAGAGAATGATGTTTGGGATATTTTCCCTCTACACCTATATATATATTGTTGTAATAAATTGATATCAAACTGTTGACTTTTTAAAGAAAAGGTTTTTTAAAAAATATCATTCTTTAACTAGAATTATCATATTAAATTAATTTAATGCCTTGAAAAAAACATAAGATTTCTAATAATCTATTTCAATATAATTTTCGAAGCCCCATATAAATTGGTTTTCCTAAAAAATCATCTCAATTTGTTTAAGCATAGCTAGATTAACAATAAAATATAAGATTTAGCTTGATCTCAAATTTGTTGTGGTCTGTTACAAATGAGGTTGGTTAGTTGCCGTGCCTCATTGTAAGACGCCTATTAGATGAGGGCTCAAAATGGGGATTTGCTTAGTACATACCATTACGGGTGCGATTCGGATGTGGGGGAAGCCATTTCAGGAAGACAGAGGTGCGATTGAATTGGATGGCCTCCATGCCAAACGGTGGAGCCTCGGGCGCTGTTTGTTTTGCAAACAACGAGCCAAAGAGAATGAGAGAAAAGCAAAGCAAAATAAATGAGTTCGGGATTAGTGAGAGTAAAGACCACGTGGAATTCAGCAGATTAGGCAAATGGTAGCTGTAGCTGGACAGCAAAAGCATAAGCATTATGGGCGAGAGTCCTTACCATCTTCCAGGGTGCGGGCATATCGAGTATTCGAGGGTTTGCCTACCACGCTCTTGTAAAATGGCACAAGAAAAAACTCATACGTAGACGCCTTGGCCAAGCCGGGTACGGTGCACGAGCTGAGCCCCTGGCCCTTGTTGAGCAGCGTTAACATCTTGTATTCAGCTGACCTCAGCTCCCTCGCGTACAAATAGAATCCTTCGATATACTGGCCACTATCGATGTCCCACGCCAATCGGACAGTTGTCGAATCGCTGGCATTTGCCTCGAGCAGCTCAACAATATCATTCGATTGCAACAGTGTCTCCACATCGCTGAGCAATAGCTGTGAGCTGACCGAGCCACCCGATGAAGCATCACTGCCATCGCGCACACCCACCAGCTTCCCAGCCGTAATCGGCTCCGAGATGGGTGAGGGTGGCGAAAAGCCCAAAGCGTTCTCGGCACGCACAATGAACATGTAAGCGGCACCCGACTCCAAACTATCCACGGTGACAATCGGCTCACTTAGTCTGCTGGCTATCGGTATCCAAGTTTTGCTCTTGTTCGTGCAGTACATCTCCACGCTGTAGCCGTGAAAGGGCGATGAGCCCAACTTGTCACTGGTAGGCCACACAATTGTCATTGCCGCTGCAGTGGCATTCAGCACTGTCGGCTGCCCCGGCGCCGTGGGGCATTTACTTTGCTCGGGTGCACGATAGAACTTGATGTTTGGATTCGTGGGCAGCTCAATGCGCAGGAAACCACTCCATGTGGACTTGCCAGCCCTCGAGCTGGCCACACAAGTGTACAGACCCTGATCCTGTTGACGATCCAAATCGGAGATAATTAAATCACCAGCAGCCGTTATGTTCAGCTTGGCACTGGGATGCACTGGAATCCCATCGCGATACCATGATATTGTTGGATTGGGCAAACCAATTGCCTTGCACTGCAGCGTTGCCAGCGATTTGATGGGCAGCGTCTGATTCACCGGCCCCGCAATGATTATGGGCGGTGGTCGATCCTCCTGGGAGTCGAGGATGAGCTGCACCCGCGACGTTATGCTGGCCACCTCGTTCATTGCATTGCACACAATCACCAGATCCTTGTCGGTGCGTTGAAAGCGTGTCAACGTCAATATCGAATGACCCTCCTCCGTGTTCAGGCTGTGAAAGCGATCCAGGGGCGGTGCACCCGGAAAAATCAGCGTGCTGTTGTTCTTGATTGTCCAGAATATGGTGGGCTTAGGATTGCCCGAGGCGCGACACTCGAACGATGTGTCTGCCCCCAATTCAACGGATTTGCTGGCGGGACGTTGGATGAATTTCGGGGGCGCTACAGTGTGCGAATATATGTGTGTTGGTGTTTGGGTGTGTTCATATATATATATATATGAATATATATATAGAGGGATAAACTAATTAGCTAAATGTGCTCGACTAGCGCTAAATAATTGTGTGGCTCAATGACAACTTAAAATAGACGCTTGATCATTCAATTAATCTGTGTTCAGAAAAGAGCTGACGATAAAGAGTTGAAGAAACTTTCACCAACGAAATATATAATATATATATAAATAAGTATAATCCAACATAAAAACTATGTTATTAAACACTGGTAAATCATCATATCATCAAACTCCGAAAAATAAACAGAATTCATCATTTGTTTTTGAAACCATTGAGACCAAATGGATGTACAATAATTGTATTCCGACAGTATTTTATATCTAATTTAATGATTTACTTTAGCTTTTACTTTAACATGAGACAAAACAATTTTTAGAGATGAACTTTTAAAATAATTTACATAAATTGATGTTACGAATTAAAGTTTCATGAGACTTTTAAGACCATTTGGTGGTTTATAAAATGCCATTAACAAAATACTCGACACAGATTAATCCCATGTTTAGCAGTCACTTTGAGCACATATCATTGAGTCAGAGCGTTGAAGCGTTCACTTACCGAACACAGTCAGAGTGCCCATCGCAGTGATGGCACCCACCACATTGTCCGCCTCGCAGCTGTATTCGCCCTCATCGGCAATTGTGACGCGTTCCAGACGCAAGCTGCGATCCTCCAGCACGCTGACACGGTCTGAAATAAGTTAGCACACACACACACACGGACACACAGTTCATCAAATTATGGGAATTGTCTAAGCGAATGAGGTTGATTGGTCGCTTACCTAGCGGCATATTGCCACCGGAGGCTGTACGCAGCCAGAGGACATCCGGCATGGGATCGCCGCCGACGCGGCAGGGGAACGTGACGGAGGCGCCCTCTAATACCGTTTGATCATGTGGTCCACGTATGATGTACGGCTTAACTGCAATAAACATAATGAAACGCTTAGCGTTAGCATTTAGCTGCACATAAGCCAAACACACGCACATACTCTGAAAAGCAACCCAAGTTACATTCCAGCAAATTGAACACGACACATTGATTTGAGGTGAGGTGCTGCCTGATGTGGGTATCGGGAGTGAGGGTCCACTGTCTCTCTTCTACTTACCGTGTACTTTGAGCGTGGCTAGGGATGATTCACGGACACCAACTGGATTCTTGGCAATGCACTGGTATTGACCCTCGTCACTCTGACGTGCATCCTGTATGGCCAAATTGCCGCCATCAACGATGCGTACACGCTTCGTGCCATCCAAATCCAATTTGAGGCCACCCTTCTTCCAGGCGACCGTCGGTTCCGGGATGCCGCGCGGTGCCGCACACTCCAGCAGCGCTGTGTCACCCTGTGCGATGCGTGTATTTTGCGGCTCCAGGCGAAACTCATCGCGAAGCACTGCAAAATGCGGCAAATGGAAGTAGAAAACTCAGCGAGAGCTTTAGCAATTGTCTGTGTGTATGTGTGTGTGTGTATCTGTGTGTGATGGCCTCTGTCCATTTGATTCCACGTTGGTGGTTATAAATTATCTTGGTTTTGCATGATAAATGCCAGTCCCTGTCCTGCCTTAACCTGCGGCTATATGCCACTCTTTATGTGTGTGTGTGGTGTGTATGTGGTATAGGTGTGTTGCTGTGGGTGTTTGCGGCCTGACAGCAAAAGATAAATTGTTGGTAAATGGCATAAATGTGCTTTTCATACGCCATATACACGCACACACACACACCTTTAAGCACTCTCATACAGACACAGCAATTCATTTGTAGAAAAAATAAATAAGTCTGGCAACGTCAACTTAATTTAATTATATCAAATTTGATGCATCCACTTTTTATTCTGATTTTTTGGCAGAACAACACTTAAATTAAAGCCTGAGCTCATTTAATGTGTTCGGTTATTAATTTTGCCAACAATCGATAGTATTATCGATAAGCTGCAAGAAGAGCGATTCATGCAATGAGCAATTGTGACGTCAACTTTTAATAAGCAATTAGAAAAACCACGTGGCTAATAGCAAATAAATTATAGGTTAAGCACCAATAACTGCAAATTACAGTGATTATCTTGTTATGAATTATAAACAAAGCCCTGCGAATTTGTGTTTAATAATTTATTTCATACACATTTCATTCAAGTGTTTGCAGATTGGAATTCTCTGACTTTTATAAATTATTATTTAATTTTTAGTGGTGTTCTCAAAGAATTTTCGCCATTTATCTACCGGAGACGTCTAGCTTCGCGTTCCGATTCCAGCAGGGTCAGAATGTCTCCCTCACGCACCGGTCCCTTCACATTGCGTATGATCTGGCGATTCTGGTCGCCCAGTAATTCCACCCTGACTTGGGTACACTGTCCCTGGGAGCCGGTGCGGCCGAGCACCTTCAAAACACGAGCCCAAACAATTGGTTTTTCCATTCTAACTTTTCAATTCCTTTTTCGATGCAGACCGAGTACTTCTGGTATAGCGTGCTTTCGCTGTGGCAGTCAGCGACTAATAGGTAAAGTTTTGTCGAATCGATTGCAAATGTCAAATTGACAATTGCATAGTTGTAATGCAAATATCGATAGTTCTGACCAGTTTTATTATATTCGATTGCAAGCGCTGATCAAAAATACTTCGTTTCTGAAAAGCCATTCACCTTTGAGCAAATTATGGCTGGGATAAATTAAGATCCACCTTAGGAATTTTTAAAAATTAAATCTTATTCATATTGGTTCGCTAATGGATAAGATTTTATTCGTATATGCCTTCCCTTTTAATAATATCGAGTAGTTCTTCAACCGTTCAGTTAATCGTAGTGGAATAATAGCTGCATTGCAAATTATTCATGCGGTTCTTTGCTAGCCGAGAAACTTGCATTCAAAACTTTAACCAAAACGCATTTCTAAAGCAATTCTTAACCCTGGCGCATAGTAAATCACGCTATTATCAACATTTTACATTTTGCCAACCGCAGATTTAAGGCACTAACTCAGCTGTCTGCATTTATTTTGCATGGCATTTCCTTCTTTTTTCTTCTTTCTGCTTCTGTTTCTACTTCTTTTTCTACTCGTCCATCTTTTTGCATATCTCGTGCGGTTTGCTTAGCATCTCCCTTTTTGCAGTTGTGGTCAAATTGCAAACCTGTAATTTGCACACCTTCCACCCAGCTGCTAGACCGATTTCCTAGGCGAATATTTGTCCCTCACACACACACACACACACACAGATATACATATATAGACACACAAAGCGTGGGAGTAGTATAATAAATCAAGTAACTTTCAAGCACTTGAAAAGCATCGCAAAATATTTTTTGTTGTACTTTCTGCTGCTGCTGCTGTCCTGAAAAGCGAGCTTTGTGCATTCAACTTGGACGCATTCAGCGTATTCAAAATATATAACGTATAAATCCAGAGTGCGGCAGCTGCTTTTACGTAAATTAAATTTCACTTTTTTTTTATTTTATTTTACAGGATTTTGAAGATTTTTTTATTTTATTTTAATCTGCAAAGTGAATAAGCGCATTTACTTTGCCCTTAGTTTAAAATCTTTCCTAAAAAAAAGAAGAAAAACTCTTGAAGCATGACTTTTATTAAATTTAAAGTGATGTCTATAAATCAACATAAATCAAAATATTTCAACGCATGGCAAAAGTGAACACGAAAGCGAATTCGCCTTCCTTCCGCCGGTTGTTGCTCCACCTTATTTTATTATTTTTTTTTTTGCCACTGACAAAACTTTTAATGCGCTCAAAATAGCAGCAGCTTTGGAGCTGGTTGCTGAAACTCGAACCCAAGTCCCGAACCCGGACACACGGAACGAGGCCAACGGAATGGGAGCGGGAAGGAGGCGATAGCTGAGCACAGCAGGAAACACGCCAACCATCAATAAATTAATCAAAGTCATAATCAGTGTCAGGTTCAGTGGCACGAGCGAAAGTTGTAGGCCATGCGGTTCGGTTCAGTTCAGTTTGGTTTGGATCGGTTCGCTTTTGGTTCGAGGTCGTGACTCAGTCAAGCGGAAAACGCGCGCTGAAAAGGTGCAAAATGCCAGCTGCTGATAATGAGTTAATAAATGACCGTTAAAGCAATATTTATAAGGCCATTGTGTATAAATTTATGTATATATGCGAAGATTTATGATAAAGCAAAGCCCGATTCAAGTTAATTTTTATAAGAATCAATAATTATAGCAGATTTTCACTCGGCTTTTCTCTCAGAAAACCAATTTTATTTATTTGCGCATCGTGTGATAAATGAAAAGGTCAATTAAACATCTACGTTGTTAAAGATACATTATTTATATGAATGTATTATAGAATATTGAAAGATTTATATCCAATAAAAATCGCTTAACACTTTTAATTTGAATTTTCCGGGCTTTGATTGATGATTACAAATTTCTACAAATAATTTCAATTATTATCTAAATCTTACTAGTAGTGTTTAAGTTTCAACAATACATATCTAAAGTTAATTTTCAAACCATGCAGAATTAATATTCAGGTTAAACTCAGACCTGAAACTTAAGTGGGTTCCCTGTTTGAGCTTGTAACCTCACCCCTTTTTATTGAGCATACACACATTGCGTATGCGTAATGTGACGGCGTTCGACAGAAATTACGCTGACAACATCAAAAATGGGCAACTTATGTTTATTATTGACAAAGCCCCCGACAAGTGAGCAAGTGAACCGCATATTTATTTTTTTTCAGCTTCCTCTTGCTAGCTTTTATTGCCTAACCCAATCAATGTGAACGCCTTTTGCCATAGCTCTGTCTCCCTATTACCCTCTGCAGTCTCTTAGCCAAGTCAGCCAGCTCCAGAGTCGCAATAACGACGTTTTAACCAAGCAAACAAATTTGACGTGCTTTTCGTGATTTACATGCAAATATTGAAAAATATTCCCCAAGGATACCGCAAAAAGCAAACCAAACTGGCTGAGGCTAAGCACGAGCTGTATCAAAAATAAAAAAAGAAAGAAAATAAAACAGCACATGGAAGTAAAATCCAAAAAAAAAAGAAAAAAGAACTCGCAACGTCAGGAAACAATATCGATTTTCATGTGGGCGGCGGTAAGGAATGAAAGAGCATAGCAAATAAAAGAAATATTAGCCAACAAAAGACAAAGTGGCGGTCTGCGGTGCCAATGGGCCAATTGGGAGTTCAAACGGAGCCACAAATGCCCCGCTTTTAGCCTCCAAATACGCCACAGTTTCTAGTTGAAAAATGATCATGAAATTGGTTTTGCATTAAAATAATTGAAATTTAGTTCTAAAAGACTTATGAACATATTTCATTTTATTTTGTAAATAAGAATATATACATATATTTAAATGGGTTTCGAGTCTTACAAAATTATATTGAAGAATGTTTGAAATTTTTTCTTTTTGCTAGTAGAACTTGTGCAAACAAATTTGATTGTGTTTTCTGCACGAGTTAAGTGGTTCATTTTCAAATTTATTGTGACAGCACAAGTTCTTGTCAAACAGACCTTTCACAACCCAGAAAATATATACTCCATACACATACACCCATAAATCACACACACAAAGCTAACCACACTGCGTACAAAAAGGATAAAAAAAAAAAACTCAACTCAATCCGTTCAGTCAGCCAAGCAACCAACTAACCAGCTAGAAAAGGTTTCAAAAGTCAAAAAATGGCAAAAAGCAAAAATTGCAAAAAAAAAGAAGAAATACCAAAATAAAATAGAACCAAAAAAAATAGAAAGGGGTTAATAGAGGCAGAGGCAAGAGCAGAAACAGCGACAGAGACCACTGACGAGACAAGTGGGTGCGTTCATGCGGAAAACTTGTAAACGCAGCTCAGCTAGTTAGTTAAGTGGGCGGTGGTGCTACGCCCCACTAAAATCCCCCAACTGCCAACAACAACAAAAAAAAAATACAGAGTTGCCCTGAGCATATCGGAACCCAACAACAACTGTGGCAAAAATCAACATCAATTTAGAATATTAAAAACGCAAACGCCTGCTGAGTGAAGACTGTGGCTTCCAACAGCAGCAGAAACAGCATGTGGTGTGTGTGGGTGTGTGTATCTGTGTGTGTGTGATGTAGACTATGAGAATATATATGTATATAAGACTTACCCGCCACTTGCAATGTGGCATTGCGACTCCTGGCCACGCCCAGTTCATTCTTGGCCTCGCACCAGTAAATGCCGGCATCTGTTTCGCGACGTGAATTGACAACCTGCAAAAAAGTAGGAACAAGCCAAATAAGTTGAGAAGTTGTGTGAAAGCAGTGAGCTGTGGGCCAAATGTGAGCAAATTTTAATTGAAATAAGTAAAAGATTGTTTTTTCTGTTGCAAACCCCTTCAGAGGGGTATTGTTGCATGTGAATCTTAAGTAGAGTTTGACTGACTGACAGGCTTTTAATTTCCCTGTCATGTTCAGTGAAAGACGTTTGCCTCATGCTTAAAACTAAGCAAAACTTCAACAGTTATATTTTAAAAATTAAATGTAATAATATTTAAATGTTTTTAAAATGAAGAAAAATTATGAAGAAATTTTAAATTGAAATTTCAGCTTACAAAAGTGAATTCTGAGCAGACTTTAAGTTTATATTGACTTGCTTATATATCTTTTTAAAATTGTACAGCTTGCTGAATGGCTTCCATTTATTTGGTTTACAGCTTATCAACCTAAGCTACCCCCTAATTGCAGCCCAGAATAGGGTATACAATAAGTTATGTCATATTTCAGATTGCTTTGCTTTCTTTCCCATTGTCATTTCACAAATGGGCTGCAAAAAGTGCTTTTACAACTTGCAAGACGTTGATTTGCAGTCTCTCACGCACGCTCTCGCTCCTACTCTCTCTCTCTCTCTCTCTCTCTCTACCTCTCTCTCTCTATGTGTCTCTCTAACATATCTCTCGCCCCCTTTGCGTGTACTACTCTTTGCCCCTTTTTGTTGCCCTGTCTTTTTGGGCCATAATAAACAGTCAGCAATCTGTTGTCTGTTGCGCGTCTGCTGCCTTCAAGTGCTCAAATCATAAAATGTCTCTCGAGCAACTTTATAGTTACTTCTTGTCTCTTCTGTTAACTCCACATCGCCGCGCCCTCTCCCCTACCCTGTCAGCACTCCCACTACTTACTTTGCCCTGTGTATTTGTTGTTTCGCTGACTGTTTTTGTGTTTCACTTTGTTTATTTGTTTTTGGCGCACAAAAGAAATTCCCCAACATGCGCTTAAAATTAAATGTCAAATGCGTTGTGTTGTGTGTGTGTGTGTGTGTGTGTGTGTGTCTTGAGTGTGTTGTGTTGTGTTGTGTGTGTGTCATATTTATCTCAACAGGAGCAGCTACAAAGTTCGCACAATTTACACAACTTCTGTGCCTCATCCAAGTGAAATTAAGTGTTGCGCTAAGTGAAGATGACAAAAGGGTTCTTCAGCTCTATTATTCTTTCATTTAATCTTGCTCATGTGTCTTTGAGTGTGTGTGTGTGTGTGTGCGTGGGTGTGCGTGGGTGTGCTTTAAGTATATGTGCCGCGGGTGCGCTTTATAAAACAAATAAGCGAATGCGCTTCAGGCATCTCAATTGTCATGCTGGCAACACAAAGGCAAAGCGCTTACTTCGGGAAAAACTTCTTGCATTGCTATCTTAAATATAAATATACCATATATTTATCTAGACCCTTGTATTTATATCTCTTCCCATCTGTCTTATTATGCCCAGCATCAGCGTAAGTATGTCAGACTAATATATGCAATATGTGTTTGAAGTCCTTTCAGGCAAATAGATAAAGGACTCATGAGCTGAAAGATTAGAGTAAGAGACACTATTTTCACTACGTTCTTAAAGCTCGATCAAGATTATGTATTACTTATATTTTGTTTGTGATTGGTGGGTATTTTAATACAATAGAGGCATATGGCCATTTTCAAGTGAAATTAAATAAATATGGTACTTGCAAATATTTCCAATGATATATTTTGTGAAATATAAATACAAAAAAAAAAAAATCTTGATTATCTTTTTACTGTATATAGATCTGTAAAAGGTATAAATTTATTTTAAATTTCACTTGGCATCTCAGTTGACTGCCTTGTCCCATTAACCTGTAGGGAGCAGCTTTAAGAATATTACGCATACGTCTCGTGCCATACGAATTGTGCAACTGCTGACTGCTGTTGCAGAGCAAAAAGCTAAGCTCATTAGTTGCCTGTGCACCAGTTGCTATTAATATTTTATATAAAATGCGTCGAGAAGCTGGCAGTCGCTGTATCTGACATCCTTTTCTAATAATAATAAAAATAAAAAAAAAGGAAAAATATAATCCAAATCCGTTACAATGGCAACGCTTACAAATAAAAATGTGAGCGCTGCAGTCTAAGCCAGACAATGTAATCTATATATTGCTCAATCTTTTACATTTTTTGCTTTTCGTTTTGCTTTTCTGTGTTCTGATGTGTTTTCTGGCTGAAATTAAATTTTTGGTTAGGACAGGAAGAGGAACAGGAACCAAGGGACAGGATAAGGCAAAAGAAACTGCGCCGAAAGTCACATAAATTTATTTATTTCTTTAATGACTTGAGCCACGCGAATTGCTGCGAATTGGCTGCGCTTTGTTGTTGCTATTGCTGTTGTTGTTGTTGTTGTTGTACTTTCTTCCTTCATTTTTTTGTTTGTCGTTTTGTGCGTGCTGCCAGCAAACATTGAAACTGATTTGACACCAACAAAAAACAACAACAACAAATAACAACAGGAACAGCAGCAGCAGCAGCAGAGGCAGCAACTCTGCCGTGTGCTACGTGCGTCTTTAAATCAGTTGCGGGGGCAAGGAAGAGCAGCCGAGGGGCAGCACAGCGGCTATAAAATATATTGACTGTGTGTGTGTGTGTTACTAAATGTGTATGTGTGTGAGTGTGAGTGTGAGTGTTTTTTGCTGTGTGTAGTCGCGCGTTGAAAACACGCTTCCGTTTTAATTTAAAATACCCATAAATTTACAACATTTCATTTGGGAGCCATTTCGTTTTCATGTTGTTACATTTTGTAATTGTGTGTGCCAGCGATAGAGAGCGAGAGAAAGAGAGAGAGAGAGAGAAAGGAAGAGGGATAGAGAGAAAGCGAGTGCAGAAGAGACAGTCGAGAGTGAGTGATAAACAAAGCGAGTGGAAGTGAGTGCTTTATAATTTTGTTTAAATTTAAAGTCGGTAAAATGTGGCGTGTAAATGATTTTTATTGAGCTTGAAATCGAGCTAGTCAGCAAAATTGGTTAAATTTGCTGTCACCAACAGTCACAGTGGAATTGTTGCAAGCAACAGGTAAATGTAAATAAAATGTGATTTGAATATGGCACATATAATATTAAAAGATATTAGGTGTTGAGATTTAAAACGAAAGTTTGTCAATTGCGATTTGAATTGATTAACAGTGAAGCAATACAAACATTGTGGCATATTTTTGGGAAATTAGTACAATAAATTAGTACAATAAATTAATCAATATTTTGCAGATGAGAATTGTGTGATGTTTGATGTACAACAGTTTACAAAATACTATAAATATAATTAAGAAATTGTCTATATAAACTTGCCAAAATTAGATATATAAACAAAAAGTAGTTGATCTAAAACTTGCCAATATTTGCATCTTAACTAACTCGTTATTCTCTCTTTCCTCATGGCTATGGCAAGGATTTGCTACGCACTCATTTAACTCTTATTGCCCATCTAGTTGACTGCTTTGCCACCTGTTAAGTCGTTTATTAAGCAACTCTCAAAGTGCTTTCCCCCTGCACTCGTAAAAAACATAAGTATATGTATATGTAAAGTCATATATAAAGTATACGCAGCGTTTGCCCTCGAAAGTTGACTCCAGTTGCGAGATGTATATAAAATTCTTCATTTTTATGTAGCTGCGAATGTGTCAAGCGTTTGTAAACTCATTAAAATGTACTTCACGCGCCGCCAGTTAAAAGTTATGCCCAGCGGCAAGTGCCAGCTGCAGCAATGTGTGGCATTAACTTGTGGCAAGTGTTTTGCCAGTTTTTAATTAAGTGCATATAACAAAAACAAATACAACAAAACTCTCAATTATGTACTTGATTTAAATGCGCTGCTCGCTGCTCACCAAATGCTTGATTGCATTTTAAAGCTTGCCACAAAACTACTGCTACAATTGCCAAATGTGGCAGGCATTTAAATAAACATTTAGACGATGGCAACGAACGCATTACATGCAAACACTTGAGCACCCCCAGACAGATGTACAAATATACCCGAATGGCCCAAGCCAGAGTTCTAACTTTCAGTCAAGGATGAGCGGAGGAGTGAAGCAGGAAGAGGAGAGTGCCACAAGGATTCAGTTGATGTTGTTGCCTCTTCAGCTGCTGCTGTTGCTGCTGTTGCTGCTGCTGCTGATGATGTGCGGCAGGCAAAACCAAAGTGGCGCACACAAATACACGCGCATAGTTGCTACAAATCATGTGTATCCCTCTCTCTCCCTCTCTCTCTCTCTCTCCGTTTATTACTCCATCTTCCTCTGTGTGTGTGTGAGCTACAACATTTGTCTGACTGGTCCTTGCGTCCTTTTTTTTCGTGCAGTTACGTAAATTATTGTCTGTCCCCCTGTTGCTCGCTCCTCCACTGTCACTCTTCACTACACTTCAGCTTTTCTTCTTTTTATTTTCGGGCGCGCGCTTTTCCTCAACACACATACACACACACACTTACACACATACACTTACACACACACACACACACCATACACACATGCAGACATTGTATACGCTTGTGCCTTCTTGTATTTTATTGCAAATTCCCCATTCGCTTGTCGCTCATTGTTACTTAAAGACAGAACCCTGAGTAAACTTTGTGCCGCATTAAAGTTGCCACATTTTTATTTGCTTTCTTTTTCGCTCTCACTCTCTTTCTATCCTCCCATTCCCTGGTTACTCTATTCAGTTGCGAGCAATTTTATAGTGTTGCATAGTTTTGGGCTGTCATTTTCGGGGCTTTGGCTTTGGGGCACCCCTCGTTATTATAATGCCTCGGCGAAGTAGGAGCTTCATTCGCATTATAAGTAAGATGAATCGTCTTCAACTTGAGAGAGACAGAGAATGATTGAAATAGAGCAAGGGAGAGACGGAGAGAGGACAAGTAAGAGCTGTAGAGAATGGGAAATGCACAGCGAAAAGCTGGCGGAATTAGAATGTAAATTATGCAAGTGACATAGAAAAATGGAAAAGATTCGAAAAAAGAAGAAAATAAAATAAATAGATAGGAGAAAAATAAAAGAAAATGCTTAGCTTAAATTTAAAATGAAACTGGCAGTGAATTTATGTGGTATAGTTTATGCAGTAATCCTTATGCAGTCATCGTTCTGCAACAAAGTCGAGGATTAACTGAGAGGAAATATAAATAAATGATTTTTATGCCATTTTTTTTTGTGTTGAATGGCCAAGGGTCAAATGAGATAATAGAAATGAAACGTAACAATGAACAATTTAATATAACAATTGCATTATATAATTCTTTTTTTGCGTTTTCTGCGAATTTCCGTTATTTAATTTTTCGATCTTCAAATGATTTTTTTATATCCAAAAAATGTAATAAAGTAAATAATAACTTAAATTAAAATAAATTGATAGAGAAAAGATTTCCTATATTAACAAATACGCCAGTCAGCAATTCAAAATATAAATTTTCTATTCTCAATTTAAGCTCATTTTTATATGTATAAATAATACTGGTTTAAACTCAACTTTGGAGCTCGAAATTAAATGCATTCATTTACCTGGGATCAACAAGTTCAATAGTCAACGAGACTTAGCGCCAACGGAGCTAACAAAAATGCCAAAAATGTCCCACAGCGTATTAATTGTGGCCAAAAACAGGCAAGACGGGCTCAAAATAATGGCCCAGACACAGGACGCATACACGCTTCACAGCATAGGAAGAGCTTTTGAATTAATTCATTTAAAGCTCGTTAGATGCAGCAGCAAAAAATAAAGTGAAAATATATGAAAGCAACATTTGCAAAACGGAAGAGAGTGTCTGAAGTCTGATTGCTGGAATCCTGCACACCGAATCCTTTTTTGCACTTAAGTGATAAACAAATACACTCGCATCAGGCAAATACAAACACAAACACAAATACAAATGCAAAAATGCGAATGTGAATGCGGATACATAAGCACAGACTAGCACACAGACTACACAGACAGCCAGTCAGGCAGCCAGATCGAGTGTGAAAAGTGGCAGGCTCTAGATGGAGGATACAGACGGGAGCCTTGCAACACCACCCGAAAAAGGTTCTGCCCGCAGCAGCTGAAGCAGCAACAGCAGCAGCAGCAGCGTCTCCAACTGCATCATCAGCATAATCAACGCGCGCGTCGTTGGCTTTTTGCGTCGTAAATTGCTGAGTGCTCAGTCCAAGTGCTGCCACATTGCTATTGCTTGAACTACAGCTGCTTGCTCCTTGTTTCTGCCACAAAACACACACACACACACACAGCTACACACACACACACAGCTACACACACTCATTCACTCACTCATTTGAAGCTCATCAGGCTGCTGACTTTTGCTGCGTTGCCTGCCAACTTCCGTTTGTCTTTATTTGTCTGGCTGCTTCTGCTTTTGGCTTCGACTGCCTCCTACTGACCCGCCTTCCCTGCCGGCCTCTCTCCTAGAATCTCTCTCTCGACGTTCCTCTTAATGTTTGTTTACCTTGCGTTAATGAAGTTGTTGGCCACCCCAGCGAAAGGCTTGCAAAAATATTTTTGCAGCTCGCTAAAGATATATATATATATATAAATATATGTATAAAAATGTAAAAGAAAAAAATAAAAGCAATTAGTTTGTTCATCACTCAACAGATGGCCTGGCAAAATGAAAATGTTTAAACAGTGCAAAAGCAGCCGACTTTCCCGACCCCTTCCCCACAATTTTTCTGGCTCTGTTATTATGAATGAAAGCGCAGAGGCAGCAGCAGCAGCAGCAGCAGCAGAAGCAGAAAAAAAATAATTATGCATGCAGCACAATAAGTAAAAATGGTGGAAGCAAAAACCGAGAAATAATAATAATAAGTAAGCGAACCAGTGAAAATAATGTAAATATGCCACAGGCTCATTTCGTTATCCCAGCCAAAAGGATACAATGAGTATCTCGTCAAGTTTTGCCATGAAAAAATGTGCAAATATTATTGTTTCTAGTGCAGAAGTGTGAATAGAGAGTAATCGTTTTTTTTCGCCTGAAGAACCTTTAACAACAAACAATGACAAAGGATTCCGTTGTCACTTGCTCTTAAGGGAAGAATTATGAATCCTATAGTGGATTTGATTGATAAGTTTTTGTAGCAATATTATATTAATACAAAATGCCTAATGTGATTAAAATTAACTTTAAAATTAATAATTCGTTTTCTGCAGTTTGTCAGGCTTTTATCAATGAAATCTACAAATACTGCAAGTTGTCAAATATTATTTCCATTTTTTTTGGGGGTTAAAGAAAGAATTTAGAAAACATTCTTTTGAGAAATTGAAATTGTTTTAGTCTTAATATGGTAAGCATAATAATGAAATATGACTTGATAATCAACTCTCGAAAGAGTATTTCAAATGCGACCTGTTCGAGGATCGCTGATATTGTCATGTTGTGGTGGACTTACCTTGAGGAAAAACAATCCGCCCGCTGGCAGTGTGATGCGATGTGAACCCGGCAGTATTTTCAGTGGCACACCATCCTTATACCATTGAATGGTGGGCGTGGGTGAGCCCTCTGCCTTGCAATTAAGCGTTGCTGGCTCGTGTCGAGGCACCGTCGTATCTATGGGATGTTCCACTATTCGTGGCGGATGTGAACCTGCAAGAGATGTAGAATGAGCAATGAAGAAGTTAAAGCGCCTTTTTATACAAATTGCACAGGGATCTTGTAGCAAAAGTAGAGGAAGAGCAGGAGGAGAGCGTGGGTGGTACGGCGAGGAGGAGGTGAGTTTCCGTTTTCCGCTGCGTCAGTCGTCAGTCGTCAGCGGTTTGGCAAATGTTAAAAAGAGCTCCCTGGCAAATGAAAACAATGTTAATGCGCATTTCCGTTGACGTTGCAAATGAAGTTGCAGTTGCAACACACACACAACTGTCGCAATGCAATGGGGTTTGGGTTTAAGCATGGGCATGGGGCTTAAGGAAGCAACGTTTTTATATCAGCAGTCAGTCGCGCTGTGAATGGTGTTCAAAGGTTCAGTTTGGAATTAATTTGTGTAAATTTGCATATGCGGCAAAGGACCGCAGCGCAGCTTAGCACTTAAGTAGTTTTTTGTTTTTGCATAATGCGAAACTGCTAAATTAACTGATGGCATGGAGAGGGTGAATGGGACGAAGCTAGGCTTAAGACCTGTGCACAGGTTGGCCTGAGAGATAACCGAGATAAGCAAGGGATTAGCATAGTTTTAGTTTCATTTATGTGCATTCCAAATGTTTTGTGCAATTCTGTGACAAAGCAAATAAAAAAGTGAAACAATATTTATGTTAGAGCTTGAATACATTATTACAATACCAGTTAAAAACTTCATTGGAATATTGCATTGAGATTTACAGAGGCGAAAGTCTTTAAAATATATTTGCTGTGTGTTTGGCTGAACTTCATTTAATTTGCACATCGAAAATGTTTTAAAATGTAAGCTTTATTGCAACATTTAGCAACAGAAATCTATTATAAGTACACTAAAAACTAGAGTATAATCCAAGATCAGAAAGCTATTCAGCTTAGCTCTGATAAAGTTTTGGATGGGAAACAAATAACAAACCGGCTTACTCATGAAATTCTGTTGTAAGCTGAAAAGTGCTTTGGCTTACGTCAAATTGTTTTCCCAATCCTTAATCAGTATTCAACACTTTCGACTTTTTCACAAAAGTTTATATTTTATTTGGTTGGCACGTAAATCGAATGTTTGGTCACAAGAACTCTGCCAGTAACACACACATAAATTTCAATTTTCGTGTCATATAAAAACAATTTGCTGTCACACAGAATGTCTTCGATAACAATACGAGAACTCACAACTTGGTCGACAATGGAAAACTTTATTTATATCGCAGCATAAATCTATAAATACATTTTTATATAGATATGAGTGTAGTCGCTCTTATGTGTAGAAATACATATAAATGTATAAGTTCGCACATCGTTTGAAAATTGATATGTCAAAAAATGTTCGAATATTGAAACGTTATTAAATAAGAGGAAAAAAAAACGCAGCTGTTGTTGTAATAATTGTTGTTGCTGCTGCTGTTGATTGCATTGCCAGCAAACATGACAACAACAATAGCAATAACAGCCACAATAACAACAACTTCACAGCTCGAGGCAAAAGTTGCATGTCATGCAACAGACGCTGCACAAAGTCGAGCTGTAAATCGAATAGACATTGGGGGAGAAGGCGTCGTCGAATTCGAATCGGAATCGTTGTTGTTATTCTCGTTGTTGGTAGCTGAGCGGGGGAGGGCGAGACGTGTTGCATGTTGGTCGACTTGCCGGAGGGTCTCGCATTCGTCGGGTTCACAGGCAAGACGCATGTCAATGTTATTTCAGCAATGAAAAAATAAAAACACTGAAGTGCCAACTGGTGGCGGGGTGGTGAGGGGTGGTAGTTATGGCCGGGCCAAAAATCAGCACGCCAACAAAACAGGAAGAAAAAAAACACAGAGCAGCAAAAAAAAAGCCAACAAATGAAATTGAAGTTGAGTCCAAATGTGTTCAATGCGCACATTTTGAGGGTTAAATGTCGCATGTAGGTGGTTGTCAGAATTGTGGGCGGGCTGCAGACCAAAAAGTTTCTGGACCGTGGAGTTTTTTTGTTTATTTTGTTTTGTATTTTTTTTTTGTTTTGGTGTTTACATATCTTTGCTGACCAGGCGAGGGCCAAGAAGCGAAACTGGCTTTTGGTTGCGGTTGTGGCTGGTGCCCTGCGGTAATGTTCAACACCTAAAAAAGGTTGTTTTTATAAATGACAAAACTACTGGCCGGGGTAGGCAGGCGTTGGGTGTTAGGAGGGTGTGGTGCTGACGCCAACAGACTGGCTGGCAAGCAAAGTTCACAGCTTTTGTATCACCCTGTTTGCATCAAAGGGTAAATGGGTGTGTCAGTCACCGAGTCAGATTCATATCTTGAAATCAATAAAGTAGATAAGGATTAAAGATTAATGCATGTAAAATAAATTATAATTTAATAAAATTGCAATGCTCTCTACAACGGTATAATGAGCACTGGCTAAAAATAGAACCAGAAAATGTATTATAATTTTAAACCTAATACTCATATTTTATCAGATCACTCATTAAAGAAGGAACGGAATTGAGATAGGCATTGACATTGAGATATAACTACACAAATGTTACTAATTCTGCTGATCAACATTATCTTTTATCTGAATTACAGCTGAAATACCCTAACACACTAAATGCCCGCCACATGTAGAGCATCTAAAGCCGAACTACCCCACAGACCCCTTATAAGGCATGATTTGGCAGTTGTTATCGTGCTTGTTCATGTTGCTGTTGCGGCGGTAAAGTTTGCGTGTGCATTTAATAAAACGATTCGCAACTAAATAATTCAATTATCAAACTGAAAACTGCATTGAGTAACTCGCCTTGCCCAGAGCCCAGAGGCCTACTAATTTAGTTTTAATTGCATGGCAGTCTTAGCCCACATATGGATGCATGTAAACCTATATGTAAATCATTATATAATCTGGGTCCTTGTGCAAATTATATATGTATATATTGTGTATGTTGGCTAAGACATACAAAGAATGTAACAACATGGGGTAAAATGCACGAAATTTGCATAAATTGCTAAAACGACAAAGGCATTTCCAAGCGCTTATGCAAAATGCAAAACTGCCAAGCGACCAAAAAGGACTGGGAAACAACCCAAAGACTAACCCAGGAAAGGAAAACGCTCAAGACGAGGACGAAGACGAAGACGAAGAAGAAGACGTTCGAGTATGAGTGCTTTCGTGGTATGGCCAAATGCCTGAAGAAAATTGCAGAGTGCAGTTTTTTGGTCTCTGGTAAAAACTGTTCTCCAAACTGGGCTTCACTTAACAAGCAAAATATTTGCAGCAATTTCCTTAAACATTCTCTTTTTTGTTTTAGCACATGAGTGTGTGTGTATGTATGTGTGTTTGTGCGTATGTAGTACCTTTATATAATAACACACATTTGCATGCTTGCTTTTGTTGCCTGTCGGCCAAAAATAAAACAAAGCCATCAACTGAGCGACTTCAACGCTTCGCTGTAGCTCGCTTCATGTGCTGCATTCTTAAAGGCATTTTCCCCTCTTACATCATCAATCAAAGGGCCTAAAGGACCTCTGGTACCCGTTGTTGTTGTTGTTGTTGCTGTTGCTGCTGCTGCCTGTTTGGACTGTTGTTTTAATTAGGACGCTGCTAATTGTTTTAGTAGCATACTTTTGGGCTGTTTGCCACTCAGGCGAAACTGTGTTACGAGTAGTCGAAGTAGTTGCACGTCCAATGCGATAATTAAATTTTGTGCCATAATTTATGTGTTGCAACAACAGCTGCTGTTGCTACTTCTGCTTCTGCTTCTGCTGCTAAGCAAATTTATCTAGTGGGTGGTTAAAAGCAATTTCTGGCGCAGAAAGTTGAGTACATTTTGCAAGAAATACGAGTATGTTTATAAAGTAAACTTGGCATGCTTTTGCAGTTACTTTAATTTCATCTAGATACTGGAACGCAAAATAGAGAGATATTCTTATGGTAGATACCAAAAGATGTGAAAACAAACCAATAAATTGCTTTGTTCTGAAATGTCTTGTTTTAAAATATAAATAAATGGAAATCATTAATACATACACCTCCGAAATTCAATTTAAAGCTCCTGTTTTTGCATATTAAATTCAATTTGAATTTGAAAATGTTTTTATAGTTCAACATTAGCTAATTTAAATATGCGTAAGAGAAAGAATCAACATATAAATATGTTGGGCATATTTTATATACATTGCTTATGTTATTAGTCAGTTGACAAGAATGTTTCTATATGTTTTACATAATGCAATTCTTATTAAAATTTAAAGAACTTTTAAGCATTACATTTTTCTAAAATACATAAATATTAAAATTATATTAATACAAAATATGTGCCAGTCATTTCATATGAATACAAAACAAAACTTATATCACATTTTGTATAATTAACCATGGATCGCATTTATATTCAAAATTGTATATCAACCACCCAAGAAAAGTTGAGAACTTATCACCACAATAATTTCATTGTCGCCTCTGTGAACACGACTCTATTTCGACCGAAATGTTGTGTGTATTTTTTCTTTTGAATAGGAAACTGAACCCAAATGAGTCAAATTAAAGTTGGTGAATGCTTCGTGTGCAGCAAATTGTTTCCGGGGATGTTGTTAAAAGTTTTTTGTTTAGTTATGAATCATAACGACGCACAAGCAACAAGAACAGCCACAGCAACAATAACAACAAATATGGCTATAAATTATATCGTTTAGACCAACAGTTTTTTCGTTTGTTTTCTTTTTAACTCACTAGCTGTCAAACTGGCAAGGGTTGCGAAATAGGCGGGCCCCAGTTTAACAATGACTCACAACTTTTACAAATGAATTGCTTATTTTTTTTGGGAGAAGGTGTGTGTGTTTGAGTGTTTTTCTGACACTCTTGTTGTCGACTTACATTGTAAACGTGTCAAGAGTCAAGATTTCTGTGGTTAAATTATGAAATGCAATAAATGCAAAAAGCAAGCGAGCGATGCATTGCCATCAAACTCAACGTCAACTGCAAATGTTTCTCCAAAAAACACACACACACACACAGAGCT